AAGGGGAGGTGGCACAAAACGTGCTCAATTACCTGGAAAACCAAGCGAGTCCCGTCTGCTGGAGGTTCACAGGAAGAGCAGGCGACCCGCGGGCTCTCCGGCAACAGCCCCATGCGTGTGCCACTCACAGTGAGTCGAGGAGCACAGGACAGAAGATGCACAGGGAACCCAATCTATTGCCCTTCCAGGGCAGCCGAGGCCAGGCCGTGGACAGGCACCCAGCTGAGCAGACATGGGGGCCGAACACGCCAGGCAGGCGAGGATGCAGGCCTTCCCTGAAACTCGGCACGGTTGTGGTTTCAGCGTAGGTCCGGTGCCGGCCGATCCGGCTGTTTCCAAGGCATTCCCCGTAAACACGCCGCTGAGCGTAAGACTCAGGACTAAGAGTTCCACAGCCGCGCTGGCCGGCTGCTGCTCTGGTTCCTGCGTCTTAACCCCCTGGTCTGTTCCTAGACGAGCCCCTTCGCTCTCGGGAGATGTTGCTTTCTTACGTATGGACGAGGGGATGCGGCCCAGGGGACCGCTGGCCCGCAGCCCGAACAGAAGCCTGCTCGCCCCTTCCCTCCCCGTGAAGTCACACTCAGTGTGCGGTCCTGAGGCCGTGTAATGACCACACGCGCTCACTCCTGCCTACTTCCTCCCGGCGCGTTCCGTTCTGTTCATTGTGCTCTTCCCGAATCCCAGGGGCCCCGCCCCCGTCTGCAGGGGATTCTCTCCGAGACCCCAGTGGGTGCCCGTGTCGGCGGCAGACCCGAGCCCCGTCTTGGCTGTTCTTTACTGCACACTCCTCGCCGCAACACAGGGGCGTTCTTCCCGCACGTGGCCCAGGATGGCTGGGGATGCGGCCCGACACAAAATCGTAAATTTGCTTAAAACCTTTTATTTGCTCATCCGTTTTCGTTCGTGTGTGTGTGTATTTCATGCGTGGCCCGGGACGACCCTTCTCCTCCCAGGGCGGCCCAGAGACGCCGAAGGGCCGGACGCGCCGGGGAGGCAACGCCGTGGCTGCTCACCCGCAGGCCCGGGACCCACCGTCGCGGCTCTCGCTCAGCGGGGCCCGTACGGAGAATAAAGGCGCCTGGGACACAAGCGCCGAGGAACTGAGGCAGCAGGCGCTCTAGGCCAGAGGGTCCCTGCGGGGCCGCCGGGCGGGAGCACAGGCAGCGTGGGGGTGATGGACCCCGGCCTGACTCATGGCCTGACTCACGGCCTGGGTGCGGCCGGTGCGACCCGGGGGGCAGCGTGCTTTCCTCACGCTGCTGGCAACAGCGCTCGGTGTGCACCTTAGGGATGGCGTCGTTTTGGAATTTTCCATGTAATATTTTTTGACTGCTGGTAACTGAAACCGTGGAAACCAAAACTGCCCGTCAGGAGGGACTGGGCTAGTCGGTTTCAAGGAGCTGTAATTTAGCAAAAAAAAAAAAAAAAAAAAAAATCATTTACCAGGGTGTACTCATTATTTCACAACATTTCAAAACACACTGAGCGCCAGGCGTCTGGGACGTGGGAGGAGCAGAGATCTCCCGGGAGCATGAGGCGTCTGGGTCCTTGGGGTCAGAGCCCAACCCCCACACCCGCCCGTCTCCTGGAAACGGTGACCTCACGCGTGCTCAGGCCTGGCCTTGACCCCGCCCGGAGCTGAGCCAGCATCGGGTGAGGGCGTGCGCCTCTTGGGGGGGACCTGGGTCCTTCCCGGAGTCCGGTGGCCCAGCCGAGGGGTCTGGCCTGTCCTTCCTGGATTTCTTCTCTCGTCCCTGGAGATAAGGAGATACCTATGTATCTTTCTCCTGTCCCCGTCTTTCATTTGTGGGCACTCGCATGCACTGCGCTTTGTTTCCTTTATTGGTGTTTCCTGAAAGTCTCTTAGGATAAGCTTTCAGTCTCTCCCTTTTTCCCCCCCCGGTAGTTAGTTATGGAGTATTACTTGTTTTTTTTCTAGTACGTGTGTGATTTCTTATTTTACACTTACTTTTCTGTTGTAGTCAAAGTTGCTTCTTGTGAACGGTGTGAATCATGGGTCTACCGAGTTGTCCCACTTGTGATAGAAGTTTCTTAGCGCATTTTAATATCTGATAGACAGGCGACAGGCTTCTTTTGTAGCTTTACTTTCTTTTTTCGCTGTTTTCCTAGTCTTTCATATTTCTTTTCTTAAGATTTTATTTATTTTTAAAGAGCGGGGAAGGACGGGAGAAAGGGAGAGAAACATCGATGTGTGAGAGATACATCGATTGGTTGCCTTACGCTTGCCCCCTGCTGGGGGCCTGGCCCGTGACCCAGGCCTGTGCCCTGACTGGGGATCGAACCGGTGACCTTTCGGTTCGCAGGCTGGCGCTCTGTCTACTGAGCCGCACCGGCTGGAGCAAATGTTTCTTTTTCCATGATCACTTTAGTATCAGCTTGGCTAACTTATAAATTTCTAACTTAACAAGGAGTGTAATTTATAAAAACGAGGGGTGTTTTTCCACTTGATCACGTAGTGTGTGCAGGAGCATTTTACAGTTTCCCTCACGTGGGTTTTGCACATTCTTTGTTAGATCTATGCCTTATTATTTAATTTTCTTTGTCACTGGTGTAACTGGGATTTTCTCTGTATCGTGTCTTCTAAGCAGTCATGGCTCGTGTGCGAGAACTTCTGTCCAGCGTCCACCTGCCACCTTGCCGACATCTCTGAGTGCGTCTTACCACCGACTCTCATAGTTGGAGTCAGTCTGACTGATTATCTAGGGCTTCCCAGGTACATTCTCATGAAAACCAGAACAGTTCCACTTACTCTTTCCTCTTCTTAAGCCTCACAGGGCTCCTCTCGTCTAACTGCAGAGGCTGGTTTCTTCGGTCTGTTGTGAAATAATCATGGCCAGAGGGAGCATCTGTCGGTGCCCTGCAGATAAAAAAGGGTTTCAAGGGTTGAAGTAACTCGCTGGTATGAGAAGTGTCTGGATATTTATCTGGCAAGAGATCAAGGCCCTTCTCTTGCTTTGGAACTAGAAAAAAAAAATTAGTAAAAAGGGTAAAAGGAAACATCTGATTTCACAATGGTTCATTGAAAACACGTGTGCTGGTTCCCGATTCTACCTTTTTTCTTGACTCTCTGTCATGCTTTTGTTTTTCATTCGCTCCTTCGTCCAGGACGGATCCGCACCCACGGCGACTCTGGAGACCGCCTGGGGTTCCTTCTCATTAAATGTTCACTGCGCCCGTTGAAGGAGGCCTGATCCTCCTCTTAGAAAGGGAGAGACCGAGGCTTAGCGAGGTTGAAGGGCGCACTCCTTGGAAAGAGTGAACTGTGATGTTGAATCTGTGTCTCCCACTTTGGGTTTTTCTAAGCTTTCCTCTATTTCTTTCTCAAGGAGTAGGGATGTTGAAGAGTAACGGTCAGTGTATTTTGAGAAAGCAAGTGTCTCACACTCTTTCTGTCACTGAAGGTGACAATGTGATGTTCGGGGACATGGCGGGCAGCCCCCAAGTCTCTGTGTGGGACCTGGTATCACAGACAGAATGCTTTTTCTGCTCAGTCGTCGTGGGAGATTTGAGGGGAATGTTCCTCCTGGTGTTGGGGATCCAGACAACAGAAGGTTTCCAGACGACGGGAAGTGTACCAAGGTGTCCCAGAGCTCGGGCAGTGCCTGAGAGACGAGGCACTCAAATATCAAAAATTAGGATTTAGTTAGCATTTACTCTGTTCTACATTTGTTACTTGTGTTTCCTGGTTTAATCCTCGCAATGATCTTAAGGGATTTTTTTTTTTTTTTTGACAGAGGGGAAGGCAGGGAGAAGGGGGAGACAGACGTCGTCCATCAGAAACGGAAACATGGATCGGATGCCTCTCATATGTGCCCCAACCAGGCACGTGATGCGACTAGGAATCGAACCAGCAACCTTTCGCTTTGCGAGAGGATGCCCAACCTACTGAGCAACGCTGGTCACGGCAAGGGTATTTTTAAAAGTTGTTTGTATTTTATAGGTGAGACAACTGATGCACAAGAGGTCATGAACTTGCCAGAGATCCCAGCAATAGCGAAGCTGGACATCTGTCTGCAGATCCGTGCGCCGACCCGCGCCCCATACATTTGTCAGATGAACAGATAAATGGGCGAAGTTCTGGGGTGGAGCGTGTTCCACCTCCTGAACGTAAACCTGAGTCCAGCATGACTCAGCCAGAGCGAACCGTTGTTGCAGCGGGCGGTTTTGCAACTCACGAAGGAAATGAGAAGCCTCTAGCCCTCAAGAAGGAAGAAAAGCCCCTAAATGCCTGGAATTCTTCGTGTGTCACGCTCAGTCCAATGCTGCTTCAGCACCCCGGGCTTCTTGTAAAACCGCGCGACGGGCGACGCAACTTCACACGGATCCGCGGCTTCCGAGGGCCGAGCGCTGAGCCCGGGCGCGCGCGCGCGCACCTGCGCGAGGCTGTGACGGGCCCGGCGGCGCACAGCGGGGCTGGAACACGGACCCTCGGGGGTCTCGGGGTCGCGCAGCCCGACCCCGGGCGGGGAAGGCCACCGTCGCCCAGGGCGGACCCCGGGCGCGCTCTCACTGCCTCAGTTTACCTAATCCCTGCGCCTTCTCGCCCTGTCTCCTTTCCTGTTTCGCAAAAGCAAGCGGGCCTGAAGCCACGACACAGGCCAGCGGGGCGCCACGGGCACCCGCAAGAATCTGGGCTGAGCAACGCGCGTCCTTTGCGACCGCCGCGCGGGCGGCCCGGCACACACCCGGGGCCGCGGCCCGCCTCGGAACCGGAGTGCGGGCGCCGCGAGCACGGGGACCACTGGGACCGCGTGCGGGTGCCCGCCGGTAGTCGGCGCGGAGCCCGTGGGCGGGGCTCGTCGGGCGCGCCGGGGGCGGGGCTGTGTGGGACGCCCAGGGCCTCCCGCATTGGCCCTGAGGACGACTGACGCGCACGGCCGCGCCCCGCCCCCGGTGCCCAGGCCGCGCCCCGTCCCGGGCGCCCAGGCCGCGCCCCGCCCCCGACGAGGCCCCGCCCCCGGCGCGCGGGCGGCGTTCCGCGCTCGCGGCGCTGACGTGTCGGCGGGCGCTTCCTCTCCGCGCGGCCGCTGTCCGCCGCCTGAGGGGCGGGCTGGCGGGCGGCGCTCCCCGCCCGGCCCCCGGCCCGGCCCCCGGCGCGCCGCCCGCCCGGACGGCGGTATATATGCGGGACCTGAGCTGAGCCGGGCGGACGCCGTCGCGCAGAGGTCGGTCGGTGAGAGCCGCGTCGCCTGGAGGGACGAGCCAGGGACGAGGTGCGGGGCGGGGACGGGCGCCGGGCCGGGGGCCGAGGGCGGGCTGTGGAGCCAGGGGTGGTCGCACGTGGGCGAGGCCGGGCTTGGCGGCAGTTAGGCCGGCGGGGGCTCCGGGGGACGGGGTGGCCGGGACCGACGCGCCGGGTCCGGATAGGGTGACACCGGTTCCCGGGGCGGCCGGTGCCCGCGGGACGTGACAGCGGCGCGGAGCCCACGCGCTCCCCTCGCGGGTTCAGGCCGTCCGGGGGACGGCGAGGGCGGCCGGGCGCGGGCACGCGCGAGCCCCCGACACGTGGTGGGTGGGCTTGGCCCTCCGGCGGCGGCGGCGGCGGCGGCGGCGGCGTGCGGGGCCGGGCGTGCTGCGCGGGCCGCATTGGGGTGGCCTCGGCGGGCGGGCGGGTCGGAGCCGCGCCCGGGGTCGGAGGCGCACGAGGGCGGGTGATGCCCGGTGTGTCATCGGGCTCCGTCGTGGCTTTCAGAGAGCTCGTCCCGCGCTCTCCGGGCGCCTGAGAAAGTCACTTAGACGCCGTGGTTGTCACGGCGGGAAGGTCGGACTTCGCGACCCTGCAGGCCCCCAGGTCGAGGCCCGCGGCCGTTTTCTCGGGCATCTGAAGGCCGGGGGCGGGGGGGGGGGGGTGGGAAAACGTTGGCCTGGAGCTCTTCGTGTGACAGTGCTGTTTGCACGCAGAGCCCTGGGCCCGTGGACTGTCCTTCGCGGGTGGGACAAGGGCGGGCAGCGTCCCCTGTGCGCGGAAGTGCGTGCTCTGGGAGGCGACACCATTTGCACAGCGTCCAGGGTGGGGAGGGACAGGGCCGGGGACTCCTGTTCTCGGGTTCCCGGAACCCCCCACCCGCCGCCTCAGCCTTAGGAGAGAGAGACCCTGCCGCTTGGAAAATGTTTGCTAGGAACCCGTGTCTCTCCGCTGTCCCTTTAACATGTTTTAAAATTCCCTAACGGCATCCAATCTCCTGGAACCCGTCTGTGTCGATAGACATGCCTTTCGATGCCTCAGCGAGTCCCAGGCTCGGCCGCGGGCGCGAGCTCTCGGCTCTGCCCGCCCTCCCGGGGGCCTCACTGCCGCGGCCGGTGTCCTGTGTGCCGGGGCCTCTGAACTGCAGACGACTGCGTTTTGCGTCTGGTCGGCACTGCTGTTTGGACACCCAACGTGCCTCCCGGGCTGACCCCGGCCCAAAGTGGAGACCGGGCCTCCCCCCGTGCTCCCGCGTGGCCAAGCCTGCGCCTGCCCCCTGCGTCCCCGCCTCGGTGCCGGGGGCCCTGCCTGGAGTCAGCTGTGCCGGACGCCTGCGGTTCTCTCACCCCACCCTCGACCCATGCCTGACCCAGACCCCCAGGCCCCCCGAGAACCACCGTCACCTCTCACTGAGACCGTTCGGTCGCTCGAGACAGCCTGCCGGCTCCCCTGCGGCCTTCGGCGCCGTCTTCCCCCCCAGCAGCGACCTGTCCTGTGACACCTGGTTCAGACCAACCGCCTGCTGCTGCAGGTCCCCCCAGCCCTTGCCTTGACCACAGGGCCCTGCTGGAAGTGGCCTCTGCTCCTGTCCCCTGCCATGTTTCCTGCCACCCCTGGCTTCGGCCACCTGGCTCCGGTGGCACCCGCAGGCCTGGCATGGGCCTGTCCCGCCGCCGCTGTGCCTGAGGCCTCCGCCCCTGCAGAGAGACGGGTCACTCCCACGGACGCGCAGAAGGCTCGGCGAGGCCCCGTCCGCTTGGCTTCCCGGCGCAGCGCGGGCCCCCTCGCGCCCGGCTCTCTGTGTGGCGGTCTGTGCCCCGAGCTGGGCTGCGGGCACGCTCTTCGCTGCTCCGTGCACGGCTGCGGCCCTCTCGCCCGGAGAGGCACCCGGCCGACCGCGCCGCTCGTGAAGCCTGTGCCGAGAGGATTAACGGCGGTGAAAGTTCCACCGGGGGTCCTCGGGCATCCGGGGAAACTTCCAGACGGGCCGTTGGTGCGTGTAGGTGCGACAGCGGCTGTGGGCGGCGGCTTCCCCCAGGAGCACAGCCCCCGCGCAGCTCCGGCCTCCCTCCGCCCTGGGCCTTCCTCCTCCACCGCGTGTGCTCGCCTGGCTTTTTCATGCTGTTCTCACGGACTGGGCTTCTCTCAGCTCTGGTGTCCTCGGCAAGCTTCCTGTCGCCGCCTCCCCCCGCCCCCCCAGGGCCTGACTCCGGCGGGGCCGTCCTCGTGCGCGGGAGGCGGTGGCGCGGGGGCCAGAGCGCACTCCTCACGTGCGGCAGCGGGCGGAGGCTTCCGAGGGCAGGCGGCCGCCGTGCCTGCGCCGGGGCCCCTCGTCGGTCGCCGCCCTCACCTCACAGCGCGGGCGGCCTTCGTCCGTCCTTTGCAGACGGGGAAGGCCCAGCTGCAGGGAGATTGCACAGCTTTGTCAAGCTCACGAAGTCAGGAGACGAGGCTGGGCCGCCTCTGACCCCAGAGCCCACGCAGGTTGCTGCCCCCAGCTGAACCCGAGGCCTTGAGCTGCATTGTTAGTGTTTTCTCTGCTTTTCTGAGACGTGGTTTGCGGCGGAAAGGCTCCCGGCTTTGGGGTCAGGGTGAAACTCCTCGTCTTCCGTCTGCGGGCCACTCAGCCTCTCTGAGCCGCGTTTCCTCATCGGTGGCCCTTCTCGCTGCCGTCGCTCGTCGGGAGCTGTCAGGGCCTGCACGGTCAGCCCCGCCCTCCCCCTCCCTGCCTGCACCCCGACACCCGCTTCTTACTGCTCTGCCTCCCGCACAGGCCTCCCCCGGTGGCTGGGGGCCGGTGGCCGCCAGCTGTGTCTGCCCCTCCTGTGACCTGTGCCACCTGCTCAGCCCTCGGGGCACAGCTGTGTGGGCTTCCGGTGCAAACTCTTCACTCTGCTCCTTTAGGCGAGGAGATGACCGGCTTCCTCCTTCTCTCCCTTCCTTGTGCTGCGCAGTTGAACATTTTGCTACATTATTACAGAATGTTCTTAAAAAAAAAAAAGTCTTATCCATGGGTGGTTCTGTGTGTATGGCTTGTCCCTTTGGGGTTCAGTTCTTAGTAAAGATAATGCATGTGCTTTTATCCCTTCTCTGCAAATGTTGCTGTTGAAATAAAGTGTGTTTCTCATGATCATAGGGGGTCCTATCCTCTCGAATTGTGCTGTGTTCTGAACGCTGCAGAGTAGCTGCTGTGGTCAGAGACCAGAGGGGAACAGCGGGGACGCGAGGCCGTCAGAGGCTCTGCCAGTGGCAGCTTAGTGGTCAGGGGAGTCGTGCGGGGGAGAGGTGGCCGCACGCAGCACGTGAGCCCGGGAGTCCGCGCGCCTGGGCTCATGTCCCAGCTCAGCCAACCGAAAGTAGTGACAACAAGGGAGCCTGTGTCGCAGAGCGCTGCGGTCGAGCGAGACCGTGCAGTTGAAGCACTCAGTGCGGTGCCCGGCTTATGGTGCCCGGTGCCGTCTTACAGCCTTGGTGGCTCACAGGCATCGTGACGGGAAGGCAGAAGATCGTACTTGACATTAGGTTTTCACATGTACTTATTTTTTGTAGGAAAGACCCTTCAGGTTCTGAGGTTGGACTTTGACCTTCTGTTGATTCCCTTTCTCTTGCAGGTTTATAGGTGCAGAAATTGCCCCCCATCTTCACAAAGCTGGGCTCCCAGAGCATCATGAATGTCGATGACCTCAGACTCAGGTTGTCCCAAGCTGGGCAGGAACACCTGCTCCAGTTCTGGGATGAGCTGGACGAAGCCCAGCAGGCGGAGCTCTATGCAGAGCTCCATGCCATGGACTTCGAGGAGCTGAACGTCTTTTTCCGAAAGGCCACCGAAGGCTTCAACCTGTCCTCTCAGCAGGAGAAGGTGGATGCGCGGATGGAGCCTGTGCCGCGGGGGGTGCTGGGCAGTGCCACTCGGGACCAAGACCAGCTCCAGGCCTGGGAAAGTGAAGGTACCGGCGCGCGGCTTGCTCCGCGGTTGCTGTGAGGCACGCTGCACCGTGGAGGGTGGCCAGCCGTGCCGTCAGGACCGGCCTCTCGTGCCGCCTCGGCCGGGCGGCATCGGAAAGTGAGGGTGGTTTTGCCAAGACCTGAGCCTCCCGTGGCTGGTCCCTGCCTTCTCTGCTCATCCCGGTGCCCGATTCGAGCCCCTTCTCATTCAGGGCTTAAACCGCCTCCAGCCTCTTCCTGCCTCAGTTTCCATACTTCTTGGTGTCCCGCCCTGAAGCACAGGTTATACAGTGTGTGCTGCTTGGCCTGAGCGCGGTCCCCGTCGTGGCCCGAGGGCAGGCCTCTGCCCCCCACCCGCTCCCGCCGCTGCCGCGCTTGTCGGCCGGGCCAGCTGGCTGTTCCCCAGGACACCTGGGTGCCTCTCCTGCCTATGCCTGCGCTGCCCTGAGGCGCTGCCCTTGGGCGCCGGCCTCTGGGCCACCACCTCCTGCAGCTCCCGGGGGGCGCTCACGCCCCTTCTCTAGGCCTTGCCACGCCCCGTCTGGCCCACGGCCCTGTCTGCTGTGTCCCTGGTTCCAGGCACCTGCCCGGCCTCCTCTTCCGCTCCTCAGCAGCAAGAGCTGCTCACCGCCGCGGCCCGGGGCCTGTCCTGCGACCGCCTGCCACGTTGCCCTGGAGCCGGGCTCCCGGCCGTCAGCTGGGCGATGATGCCTGTTGAGTCGCCCAGGGCTTTTTCTATAAAGCCGATTGAGGAGTCTGTCCCCGTGACTGGTGCTGAGTGATGCTTTCGAGGGTGACAGCTGCACTGAGGCGGTGCCTGCTGGGTGACGGTGAGAGCCGGGCCCTTTGCAGCCTCGTCCCCGGTGAGCGAGGGGCTGGCTGTGCCCGCGGCCCGGGCCCCCCAGCCTCGCTGTGCGCCCGGTCAGGGCTGGACCCGTTTCATAGGGGGCAGATGGAACTGATTCTGGTCCTTCCTTTTTAAAAAACGTTATTGCAGAAGTAACGTCAGAACGACAGGAACATTGTAGAGAAATTGCCGTAAGCTCATCTGCTCTGTTGGGTGTGCTCCCGCGGCCGCCTGGCCCTTGAGGGTCGCTTTTCTGAGTGGCCAGCGGGGTGGAGGTGGGGGCGGAGCCTCGGGGTCCGCGTGTGTGCTGCGCCGTGGCTGGCCTGGTCTTGTCTCCCGTTCTCGGGCACTCCTCGCCCCTCCCTCACAGCAGAGGAGCGGCCGCTGCCACCGGCAGCCGTGCCTGCAGCTCTCCGTGCCTCTGCCCGGCCGTACGGGTTTACTGCCTCCCAGGGCCTCTGCGCCCAGGAGCTGCCCCCAGTGGGCCGGGGGCGGCGTCTACGCAGGCGGGTCTCCGACCCCTCTCTTCCCGCCTTGCAACGGTTCTGCTTGACCTGTTTGATGTGTCTGATTTTCGCGGGAGTTTTATTGAAAAGGGGTTGGAAGCAGAAAGAACATTGAGCTGGATGGCCCTCAGGGAGGGCCTTGCTGCCCTGGAGTGCTTGGGGGTGACCCCCAGCCACCCCGGTGGGGGATCCGCCGCCACGCTGCGAGGGAGCGGCTTCCCGATGGGGGCCTGCGCAGCAGGGCGTGCGGGGGGCGACCCCTGCGGCCTGGGGGCGCGCCAGCCCCGCCTCCTTCCCACGTCCCAGAAAGGCCGCGGCGCCAGCCCCAGGCCGCACAGGCCTCTCCTGACCCCCCGAGGACCCCGCTGCCGCGCGCCGTGCGGTCCCTCGGGGGTGACGCCGCGATCGGCCCTTGCGGACGTCCGAAGCTTTGACCTTGTAAAACGAGAACCTCGAGCAACCAGCCGGGCCTCCCAGAACTTGAGTCTTTTAATGACCTTTTTGTTGGACTCAGTAGAACTGGTCTACATTTAAGACTTTTCCTTTAAACTAAACACTGGAACCAGCACGACCTAGCACAGTGTCAGAAGGTACTAAGCAAACTTCCTTTTGGCTTAATGCCCAGGGAACAGTGTGTATTTGTGGGTGTGGAGAAGGAGACTCTGTCACCACCATTACGTCCTTTTTGCTTAGCCACACACTTCCACCTGTGCCGACCCCTAACGGGGTGAGGCTCTCAGGGGCCGTCCAAGAGATGGGGTCACCCTTGTGAGCAGCGTGACACCGTGTTTCAGGAAGCGGGGGGATCCTGGTGTGTGTGGTAAAGGTCCTAGGTTCCCCACCCCCAGGGATGGGGCAGGTAGAAGCGCTGTGCGGCGATTTCACAGCGCCCGGTGGCAGCGGACGTGGAAGGTTGTTGCTGTGGGTCGGAGACACACGTGACCGCAGCACTCCTTGTGGACGGGGGATTTCCAGTTAATTCTTGCAGTGCCCAGGCCGGCTGCAGAGGGCACCCGAGGGGTCTCTGTCCAACTGCGCTGAGCTCTCGAGAGAGAAGTGGAGGCTTCGGCCAGAAGTCGTTCTAGTAAAGATACTCGCGTTGGGAAAGGGTGCTTGCTTAATAAACATGCTTAAAAATAAGTGCATGTTTATACTAAGCACCAAAGAGTCTTCCAGCTTTATATTGCAGACGCAGATCAGGATTCATTGTTAGCCTTCTTTTGTCTACACGATAGACATTGGAGACATTAATCTTCAGGGTGGCTCTCCACCAGGCAGCCCGGTGGCTGACAGCGCAGGGTCATCTGTCACCAGATGACTTTTCGGCTTTCCTGAGACAGCGCCGAGACATTTTTAAGAGGTTTGTTTTAATTTAAAAGAAACACATGCTTACGTTGGAGAAGTTGGGAAGTCACTAAAGATTACAGGGGAAAAACTAGAAATTTCTGCCATCACAGAAGCCAGAGATAAATCCTCAGTAGTAATATTTCATAGTACTTTCGTACACACACGGATGATAGTTTGTGTATTACTTTGTGGTCTGCTTCAGTAACATGTTATGAAAAATTTCAGGCAGAAACTTTTCGATAGAGGTATGTAGAAAAACAGCATAACAAACTCCCACACACACATCGCCTTGATTAGAGATTATCTATAATGCGCAGCCTCGGCCCCGCCCCGCCGCCCGGCTCCTTTGCTGCGGTGTTTCGGGCGGACCCCCGCCCTCGAGGCGAGTTGCCTTGCCGTGCTCGGCAGCGGCCTGGCTCCTGGGCATTTTCTCACGCCTCCATGTCGCTTTTATACCTAAGAAGTGCACAGCAATCCCCCAGCTACTACAGCAGCTTCAAACAGAGATTTCCTTCAGCGGTCAGTTCAGCTCATGTGCTTAGAGTGTGCTTATTAGCATTTTTGGGGAAACGGTCAATCTACAAAGTTGAAGTGTCAGCTGCAGTTAAAAATTAAAGACGGAGCCCCTGCTCTGACCCACTTTCCTGGTCGAGCTGCCCATGTCCCCCACCAGGGCGGGGTCTGCCACCTGCAGTGGACGTGGCATCTGGCAGCCTCCTCCCAGGTCAGGCAGGTGCCCATGTACAGGTGCGTGGGGGGGGAGGGGAGGAACGTGTCCGAGCCGGAAGTTACCCAGGAAGCCCTGGGTCCGGACACGTCCCCGTGAACTCTCTGGGCTCCGGGAGACGTTGCCAAGGTGGCGCCTGGGGCTCCAGGGAGGGGCTGTGGGGCCAGCCCTGGGCAGGGCGCCGGGGCCTGGCCTTCTGGCTTCTCCCTGGCCTCTGCTTGGGCCCGTGTCCAGGTTCCCTGTGTAGGCAGCTTGCTTTCTTTGTTTAAAATAATTTTTTAAGGTTTTATTTATTTTAGATGGGCGTGAGGGGGGAAAGAGAGGAAGAGAAACTAAAATGTGTGGACGCCTCTCGTGCCCCCCCCCCACTGGGGGCCTCCTGGGCCTGCAGCCCAGGCCTGTGCCTGCCTGACCAGGGATTGAACCGGTGACCCTTTGGTTCGCAGGCCAGCGCTCAAGCCACTGAGCCACACCAGCTGGAGCTGTAGGCAGCTTTCTAAGCTCTTGTGTCCTGCCATGAAGCGCTGGGAAGGTGATGTCGTGTATTTTTCTGTTGTTTTTTTTTTTTCCATATTTCTGCAGATTTGGAATAGAAGTTCATAATTTCCTAACTGGTGTGTGCGTTAAGTGCATTGATATTCAGTTAACGGTTTTCAGTGCAGTCTCCCGTGGGACATTCACGTTACGGTACAAACAGTTGGAAATCATAGGTTATTGCTGTGGAACTGAAAGGCTCGCAGAATTTTACTGGCCCTTGAGTTCCACTGGGAGACAGGCTGACTCCGTGGTGCAGTTTTGGTGAACATTGTGGTTCATTGTGCCCAGCGAAGTGGCGCCCTCACCTTGACACCGTTAACAGCAACTGTAGCTCCCTTTAGTCCTTGCAGTGCGGCGGGCCTTGCCGTGGCCGGGTGGCGAGCCGGTCAGAGCGTCGCCCCTCACGCCAAGCTTGTGGGTTCGATCCCCAGGCAGAGCCCACGCAGGTGTCCAACAGTGAAGGTGCGAGTAAGGGGGGCAACGAGCCCGTGTTTCTCCCTTTCTCTACCCCTCCCTCCCTCTCCCTCTTTCTCTCTCAGTTCCGCTGGAAGGAAGGCAGAGAGGAAGGCAGGCAGGCAGCCGGCCTCCGTCCTCTGGGGACGGCTTTCTTTCCTCCTGATTGCTGTCCGAGAGGGAGGCGTGGGAGCAGGGAGGAGTTAATGTGGGAGCCTTTTTCTCACAGGGCGTCCGGCCTGCGCTGCCGGTCAGCGTGCCGCTGTGGCTGGATGGTGGTGAGCCAGACGTACCCTGGCCGTGTGCCCCCGGGGCTGCATGCGAGGCGAGGTGATGGCCGGGAAGGAGGACGGGGAGGGGCTGGCAGGCGCGGGCTTCGGAAACAAACACGGGTCGTTGTTGGAGTGGAGACCGAGGCCGCTGTGAGCTGCTGGGCAGCAAAACCGCAAAACGGGAGAATCGGGAAGGCGCGCGAGGCAGGGGCTCAGGGCGCGGGCCTGAGGAAGAGGAGGTGTACGCGGCGGTGTGAGGGTGAGTCGCTGGAGGCCGCAGAAAGCCTGCAGGCCGCCGCGTGTCCTGCAGGCCGGCAGGAGCGGATGCACTGGCCGCTCACCATTCCCCGGGGGCAGACAAGGGCCGAGGCGAGAAGGGACGCAGGGAGGGCGGCCTGAGCCACATCGACAGTGAAGCAGCTTGACCGTGTGCCGCAGGAAGAAACCACGTTGTGCGGCGAGAGCGGGCCTCGGGGGCGTGTGCCGTTGCAGCCCTGGTTCCGGTCCCTGAGGAGCACGCGGGGCGGGCAGGCCGGAGGCGGCCTTCTGCGACTCCAGCGTGGCGCCAGCCTGGCGCGGGCAGACGCGAGACTGCAGATGCACTTACCCACCCACTTACCGCGGCGGCCGTGCGCTGTCCAGGCCTGCGGGGCGGGAAGCGAACCCACGGTGTGTGCGCTGTGTCCCCTCTGTGAGTGTCAGAGAGTCTGCGTCTGGGACAGATATGGCCCGTGGGGTAGGTGAGGGACTGTGGACCTGTACTTTAAAGTAAGGCTTTTGGGTGGATGAGAGCAGAATTAAGTTTATTCCCTGGAAACTATGTTTCTTTGGTAACTCGGGGAATAAGCGAAGGTGAAGCAGTTTCCAGAACGCCTTCAGTGGCACCCCCGCCCGCCAGGGTGCCTCGTGGCCGTCAGCCTTCGCTTCGCAGGGACACAGACCCCCGGACGGGGAAGTCTCGGTGTCGGGCGAGTGTGGGACCGCGTGGGCTCTCTTTGCTCAGCAGGTTTCCGTCCGTGTAGGGGAGTGGGTAAGAGATTTCTGACAAGGCAGCACAACCCCTCGTGAATTCGGCGGCAGGGAGGAGGCAGGGCGAGAAGGAGCAGGGAAAGCGGCGTCGGGGCCGCGGTGGAGGCGCGGTCCTGTGCCCGGCGAGGGCCTGGGTGTGGTGGGCGATGGCCCGATGGCCGTGGGCGTGGAGTGTGGCTCCGGGGCTGGCGTCAGCTCCGTGTCAGAGGGGAATTACGGGAAGATCTAACAAGTTTTTAAATTTTTTGATTGAAAAAAGCCGAGGAAGTTGCTGAACATCATCCTTGGGCTGCGCTCACTCTCTAATGGAGACAGGTTGTACGGTCAGGGCCGGGCCGGCGCTGACCCTGTAACGGACGTACTGGGAACATCGTCTGCCTTCTCAATGGACCCGTCTCCCCCTCTGCTAACCGAGCGCAGAGCGCGCTGCCCAAGGGCAGGAGGGTAACAGTGACCGTTGCCCACCTGCTGTGGCGGCCAGTGGCCAGCCTCGTTCCCAGAGCTCCCGAGAATTCCGGCGAAAGTATGGAATTCAGGCAACAAGAACGAAAACCGCCTCTCGCCGCCTCCCCGTCAGCCGCTCGGTGCCTCACAGCCCTCCCCGCCCGCTGGCGCGCACGCGCTCTTCCCACGGGGCCCGCAGGCGGCGTCTTGCCGGGACACCCACCTCTGCGGGCGAGAGGCAGGCGGCTCTGAGGGGCGGGCGGCGGCCGCAGCCTCCGCGTCCTCAGCCGCGCTTGGTCTCCCTTGTTTGTGTTTGGGTCTGAAGTCCACTCTGCGTTTACCTGGACGTGAAGAATAGGGTTTTTACCCAGGCATTCGGCGCTGAGGGTCCCACGCGGGAAACCGACGTGCTGCTTCCAGCAGCAGGAATGAGTCAGCAGCGGAGGCTCCGTTTCACAGCCCGCTGCTGCTGCTGCAGATGGCCTGGTAGCAAGGCATTTTAATCAATGTCATTGGAGGACAATTACATACAATAACGTCCTCGTCTTACGAGTTTTAACAAACGCGCAGCCATGTGACCACCTGCCCAGTCGAAAGATGGAGCGTGTCCATCCCCCGCCCCGTCTCCTCCAGTGGTGCTGCAGGCAGGCCCCTGAGCCCCCCGGTCCAGGGGGCTTCCGACCCCGCGGCCCGGCCTCGGAGCGGGGCCTCCAGCCGTGCTGCTGTGTCACATTCAGGGCCCTCCTCGCCGAGGCCGTTGCTCCCCGCGTTTACCGGGCAGCAGTGTGCCTGGAATGCTGGCCTTCTCGCTGGTTAATCGTTTATAAGTCATCGATTGACAGGCAGGAGGCGATCAGGGGCATTGCCGTTCATCCCGAGGCCAAGGCGTCTTCTCTCGTCCTGCCTTCCCCTGGACTTGCCCCACCTAATGAGTAGTCAGGTGCTTGAAAGCATCCGTAGCATCCGGGTCTCTGCCTCCCAGCATCATCAGAAGGAAAATTATTAGCGATTATAATCGTTGAAGTATGTTATTTGGTGTTTGGTTGGGTTGCATTTATGAGTTTTTCAATAATACAAATATTTTTATTGGCAAGAGGGTCCCCAGCACTGCGTGTGGAGTCTTGGCTCGCTATGCGGTGGGGCAGGGGGGCGGTTCTGTGCACGTTTATCCGAAAGCGCCGAATCCTAGAGCTTTGCTGACACCCGTGTTTTCTTTTCTAGGGCTTTTCCAGATTTCTCAGAGCAAAGTGGCCGTGCTGCTCCTGGCTGGGGGACAGGGGACCCGGCTCGGAGTGGCCTACCCCAAGGGGATGTACGACGTTGGCTTGCCGTCCCACAAGACCCTCTTCCAGATCCAGGCGGAGCGCATCCTGAAGCTCCAGCAGCTGGCGGAGGAGCGCTGTGGCCGCCCGTGCACCATCCCCTGGTGAGACGCGGCGGGGCCCTCGGGGCGGGGCGCGCTCATCCCCAGCAGACCAGCACCCGGCGGCTGCCGCGGCGGCGGCTGAAGCTGTGACGTCACAGGCCGGAGGCTTGGCGTGCGAGAGCACAGGGGCCGCTGCAGCCTTGGGAGCCGTGCGCTCCCTCCTCCGCCCCCTGCCTCCCACCAAGCCCCTGGGGCCCCGCGAGCTCGCTCTCCATCTAGAAGCTTCATGCCGATCGGTCGTTGGTCACATGTGGGGTGTCTGGTTGGAGACCTGAATCTTTGAAATGTGAAGGCTTCGCTCTGCTGTTTCCGGCATTGCCGGGGAGAGGTCTGCCTTTCTGAGTCCCAGTGTTCTGTCCCCTCCCCTTACCCTCAGTACCTGAAACGTCATGGCCACACGGTGTGTGTGACTTTATCTCCCGTGGGCTCTCTCAGCCTCGGAACTCGACCTACGTACCCGCCCGTCGGCTCCCCCAACGCGTCCGCAGCTGAAAGCGCCTGAGGCTCTGCCCCGCGGCCCTGCGTCCTCAGGGCCTGCCCGCCACGGTGCCTCTCCTGCGCTCCCCGCGAGGGCAGCGACTGCGGGGATCCTGCTCTGCTCCCTGGAGGGATTCGGTCGAGTTCTTTAATAATCTCTGTCCTCCAGTTTTGGAAGTTAGCGTGTTTTGCGGGGCAGCCAGCTGTGGGTGCCTGATTCCTCAGGTCCCTGATATTTGTCATTCAGCCCTTGTGACCAGCAAAGGCGCTGCTGGTCTCTGCGTCCTCCGCAGTGGTGGGCTTTGCCCGCTTCCTGCACTGACCCTCTCAGCAGACACCGGCTGAGCGCCTGCTTCTCGGTGCTGGTTTCAGACAGAGTTTTCCTCCTGTGCCCCCTGGCGCGGGGTGGATGTCGCACAGAGTACAGTGACTGTTTTATGATTTTGAATGAAGGGGAACAGCCCGGATTTCATTTCCAAATTGCAACAAAAAGAACCCCAAGAGCTCCCTGGAGAGTAACGCAGCCACCCTTCTGTCTGCGTTTAGGCAGGGCAGGAGTTTTCATTGCCAAGCGCACCTTCGGCAGCCTTCGGAAGCAGCCGTGCCCGCTTGGGCGGGCTGCGGGCTGCTTGGGGGGGGGTGCCCGCTTGGGCGGGCTGTGGGCTGCTTGGAGGGGGGGTGCCTCGGTCGATGGCCGGGGGGCGGGGGGCAGCCGTGGGGCGGGGCCGCCGTCGGGGGGCCGCCGGGCAGGAGGCCCGAGGCGCAGAGCCCCGTCCGCGCGGGGAGGCGGGGGCCCAGGCGGCACGGCTGCCTAGCGGGCGCGCTTTTCTTGCGCCAGGTACATAATGACCAGCGGCCGGACAATGGAGCCCACCCAGGAGTTCTTCGCCAGGCATGCGCACTTCGGCTTGAGGAGGGAGAACGTCATCTTTTTCCAGCAGGGGATGCTGCCCGCCATGAGTTTTGACGGGAAGATTATCTTGGAGGACAAGAACAAGGTGTCCATGGCTCCAGGTGCGTAACCTTGCTTACGTGGTGGTGACTAGAAATGGCCGTAGCAAAAATCGTTAAATTTTGGCTTTATTTTTAATATGGTGGTGGGGATATTGAAAATTAGTATGTCAGTTTTTTTTCCTGCAAGTTGGCAGTGATTTTTTAAAACGGCAGTGCCTGTGGGTGCCGTGGCTGTGCTTTTACCGTCTGTGGGGTCCGCCCCGGGCGCGCCCGAGCGCCCAGCTCAGCCTCCCTGCCCCGCGCTTTGCGCAGCGGTGCACGCGGCCGCCACGTGTGTGCAGCGAACGGCAGCCTCCTGCGGCCCAGGGGCGCACGGGCCGAGTCAGGGTCTGTAGTGCTCCTCCTCAGACGGTGAATGACCAGGAGAGCAGTCCTGGCAGGGTCAGGGGGAGAACAGGGACCCACAGCCGTTCCCACGGCGCCCTCGGCCTCGCTCCGGCCCGGGCGGCGATGCAGGGACAGGAGCGGCGTGGGCGGGTCCGCGTCTGCCTGGGTCCGCACGCGCGGGGAGGAGAACTGGGGACAGGCTGCAGGGACCAGCAGCGGTGCCGCTGGCGGGGCCCTCGGTCCATTCTTTTCTCTGCTGCTTAGTTGTCTTTAGTCAGTGGGCGGGTTTACCGTCTTCACTCTGTGTGTGGTGTTGTCTAGTTCCTTGTCGCGCGTGCGCCGTGGTGGAGGTGGTTGATGGGGGAGGCACTCAGGCAGCGCTGAAAACGGACGGGAAGATGCAGAGGCTTTTGCCTGTGCGGAGTGGAGGTCACCACGACCTCCACGTCGGTCGGGCTTTTAAACGAGGGCCCTGGCATGAGACGCGTGTGCGTGTTCACACGTGAGGTGGGGGCGCGGTCCGGCTGTGGAGACAGCCAGCGCGATCACGCCGACGGTGACTGACCTGACATGTCGGGAAGCACCGCTGCCGGACACAGGGTGTCCTGCTTCACAGCCTGTCCCAGGCTGAGCTGTGGAAAGGGCCGGCGGAGAAGGGAGGGGCGGCTGGGGCTGACCGCCTGCACGGGCAGGGCCGCTCTGCGCGGGCACGCCCGGCCCTCTCCTGCCAGCACTCGGTTTCGTGGCCCGCGGGGTGAACCCCTGGGGGCCGTCAGCCCGGGCTTTGCTGTGCTTCGCTTCCCAGATGGGAACGGCGGCCTGTATCGGGCGCTGGCGGCCCAGCGCCTAGTGGAAGACATGGAGCGGAGAGGCGTGCGGAGCGTTCATGTCTACTGCGTGGACAACATCCTGGTGAAAGTGGCCGACCCGCGGTTCATCGGGTTCTGCACTCAGAAAGGGGCCGACTGTGGGGCGAAGGTGAGGCCTTTGTCGTCTCGGGTCGGGGGGCTCCCCGGCCTTTCTTGGTCGCGCCTGCGTGCAGGCGTCCAGCTAGAGCTGCTGGGGGATCGGAATGCCTGAGACCCGGGCATCTCCCAGGCCCCCGGCTGCCCCTGCCCACTCTTTCCCTTCAGCCGGCAGCGTTGGGTTCTAGGAGGAACGCTGTGCGCTCGTCCATCGTAGCCCGGGCCTGGATGGACCCGTTAGCGTCGACTTGCGCTGGAGCAGGTCGTGGGGGCGTCGGCACGGGGACGTACAGACGGCAGGGTTGGGCTTCAGGGAGGCATTCGACGAGGCAGTGGGGGGGCACGCAAGCCTCGTGCCCAGGACGGAGTGGGCAGGCTGGGGGTGAGGTGGCCGAGCTCAAGAACCCCCAAAGGACCGTGGGCGCCCTGAGGCCGAGCCACGGGTCGGACAGGGCAGGCCACGCGGCAGCTGCAGGTGCTTTCCGTGTGGCTCTCCGTTGCACAGCCACGTGGACTGATTCTTGACATCGTATCGGCTCTTTCACAGCTTCCCCTGGGCAGCTCGGCGAGCTGGGGGGTCGGCCGGGGCATCAGAGCACCCGTGAGGCTAGTGTTGAAATGAAATAGTCGTACATTTCCTTCTGATTTCCACACACACCTTGCTCCCAGCGCCCCCGCTACCCAGAGCTGTGACAGAGGATCAAATCGCAGACTTGCAGACTGTTTAAAGCATCGAGTCTCTCCACGCACCACCTGGCATGCAAAGCCGATGCACGGGGGGGGCCTTTCTGGCTGAAGTCTGTGTGGGGCCCAGGGCCCTGCCCTCTCCGTGCCCACCGCTGGGCACAGACCCTGAAAGCTGAGGACTGTGCTGCGCTTCTGGGTGAAGCGTTCCACGGGGAACGGCCACCGGGGCCGCGGCAGCCGAGGGCTCAGGGAAGGCCTGGGGCTTTGCAGTCTTGCGCCTCCCAGAGAAGTGTTATTCCACGTGCTCTCCAAGCAGCTGGTGCGGCTCAGGATGAACTAGATGGCAGACATAAAGCCTGGGGGTGTAGCCGCCTCGTGCATGGCTGTTCCCAGTTCAGCAACTTCTCTGGGCTCCGTGTCAGGGCTCCGCCCCTGCTGGTTGGACGTTGACCCTGCTTCCTGGGGGGGGGGGGGGGGGGGGGGGCGGGGAAGGGTTGTTCAGAGGCTGTGAGGGGGCGGGTGGCCGTCTGTGGGATTTCTCTGGAGCTGCCACCGCGGGCAGTGGCAGGGTGGCCCCGGCAAGGGGCAGCCGGCCACGGGCTGCGGTCTCCCCGGGCAGGTGGTGGAGAAGACGAACCCCACGGAGCCGGTGGGCGTGGTGTGCCGCGTGGACGGAGTGTTCCAGGTGGTGGAGTACAGCGAGATCTCCCTGGCCACCGCGCAGCGGCGGGGCCCCGACGGGCGGCTGCTCTTCAGCGCGGGGAACATCGCCAACCACTTCTTCACCGTGCCGTTCCTGAGAGACGTCGTCAAGTACGGGCGGGGGGGCTTTGGGGGTTTCATTTATTGTTCATTAGAGGCCGAGTCACATGAGACGTAGGACGAGGCCCCAAGTCCCGTCCCGCAGAATTCGTCCTCCTGCTGAGGGCCCCCTTTACCCAGCGCGGTGCCCGCACACCGTGGCCGTCGGTGCGCGAGGCGCCGGCTCCTGGATGTGAGCTCAGGGCCGGGTGCTGCCCCCTCTTCCCCCACGCCCAGCCCGCCTGGTCCCAGGGAAGCAAAGGGTGAAAAACACCTGTGTCTCCCACAGCTGGACGCTGGGAGGTGCAGGTGTCCTCCAGCTGCTGAGCCGGGGTCCCCAGAGGTGGACGCACAGCGTCCGCGTGTCGAGAAGCAGTTCCGACACTCGAAGCGAGCGGCTCCCAGACGGCCATGCAGGAGCCAAAGCGACAGAGCCGGGGGGCGGGGGCGGGGCTGAGGCCTGGGCGAGCCGCGGGTGTCGCCCTGACACCCAGCAGGAGCTGCGTGTCCTGGGTGTCAGGGTGCAGGGGGCTCTGCTGTCTGACTGTCGAGGCTTCTGGGACTGTGGGGTGACTGCCTGGTCACCCCGCTCAGAATGTCCGTCAGCTCCTGGTCCCCGCCGCCGCGCGGTCCACAGCGCTGTTTGTAGCTTGTTAATTCACCTGCAGTGGCTGTTGACGCCCGACTTCCCACCCTGACCTGGGAGGGGTCTCAGGAAGCTGGGGGCAAAGAGGAGAGCGGGCGGCAAGCCTGGGGCCGTGGGGGAGATGTGGCGTGAGCTGGGGGACCCGGAGAGCTTCGCCCTGGCGAGGGGCTCCCACCTGGCGGCCGAGCGCTGGCCCCGAGCGTGGCGGCCGGGTCGCCGGCTTTTGCGTCCGCACAGCGACGGCCTCCTTCCCCCGCGCAGTGTGCACGAGCCTCAGCTGCGGCACCACGTGGCTCAGAAGAAGGTTCCGTGCGTGGACTCCCAGGGCCGGGTCGTCAAGCCCGAGAAGCCGAACGGAATCAAGATGGAGAAGTTCGTCTTCGACATCTTCCAGTTTGCCAAGTAGGTTTTGCGTGGCCGGTCAGAGGACACGTGCTGAGAAACTTCCTTGTGCTCCCCTCGGCGGGACGCCGGTCTCAGAGCCTGCTGGCCGCGCCAGTGGGGGGTCCTGATGGGGGACGTGTGGTCTGGATGTGCTTCCCCTCATGGGAGCCGCCGGCCGCGCGTGCACGAGGCGCCCCGAGGTTTCCTTGTAGCCACTCGTCCGCTGTCTGGCGCTCCTGCCAGATTGTCGCGCGCTTATTTGGTGCAAGAGATGGGAGGTTAGCTAGGGGGTCGGCCGCCGAGGCCGGGCGCCTCCACCTGCGAGCGGATGTCTCCACCAGAGCCCACACCGGGTCTGGGAGGGGTCTCAGGACTGACCGGGGTGAAAACGCCGAGGCCGGGCCAGCCAACAGCGAGCGCACCAAACACGTTGCTCACCCGTCCTTTTTCCCCAGAATGCATGCTCGTGGGGTCTTTCTGCGTGGAGGTTGCTGGTGTGATGCCGGCCAGCAGGGGTGGACGTGGCCTCATCTGCGTGGGGGAGGAGTGTTGCTTCTTCAGCCTCCGCCTGAGTCTGAGCCCGGGGGCTGCTGGAGCCGCGCAGGGGCCGGAGCCGTGCGGAGCTTCACTTCTGGCCGGGCGTCTCTGTTCGGCTCCGTTCCAGGAAGTTCGTGGTGTATGAGGTGTTGCGCGAAGACGAGTTCTCCCCTCTGAAGAACGCGGACAGTCAGAACGGCAAGGACAACCCCACCACCGCCCGGCACGCCCTGATGTCCCTCCACCACTGCTGGGTGCTCAACGCCGGCGGCCACTTCGTCGACGAGAACGGCTCCCGCCTGCCCGCGATCCCCCGGTAGGCGCCTGCCTTGCCCTGCGGGCCCTGCTCGCCCCCCGATGGTCCCGTGTCTTCAGTGAAGGCAGAGGCCCTGTGGGCCCTCCGGGTGTGGGCTCGCGGCAGGCAGCTCTGCCCTCGTAGCGAGGGGTCTCTGCCGAGTGCCTCGTGTTTCAGAGCCAGGCCCGCCGGGTCGTGAAATAACCCCGCCGCGTGGCTGTGGGGGCGGCCCCCTGGGTGCCCTGCGGGTTACGCCGTCGGCAGCAGCCACGTCGGGCGCGCCGGACGCAGAGCGTTGGCTGCAGCCCTCGCTGTGCGGGCTCACGACGGCGCTCGCGCTGGGGTCCCCTGGAGGTCCCACCAGGAGACACAGGCCCCCCGGGTCTCACGGAGGTGGCCTTGGGGCACCGAGGGCGGGGCCAGGAAGGGTATGAACGCCACCCACCGTACCTAACACTGAGCCTCTCAACATGCTCTGGGATTTTAGGAGGTGGCACAGGAGGGCGCCTCTGCCGGGCCACCCTGCGGTGATGCCCGGGTGAGCTTGGCCCTCTGCCTTATGGGGACGCCTTCGCTGGCGCCCAGGACCCTCCCGAGTCGTTGCAGAGGAGCTTCCGGCCGTGCAGCCTGTGCTCCCTGGGGTGGCCAGGGTGCGTCTGCGGCCGCGGCCACGGCCTTGCGGGGGGCCCCACGCCTCTCGGTGTCCTGGGCTTCGCCCGGGCGGCTGGGTGTCGATTCCAACGCCGCCAGCCCCTTTGCCGGGTTTATGATTCACCACAAGTCCTGCCTCTCTGTCGCGTGTATTTGCAGTTCCACTTCACGGTGACGTTTGGTTTGCTCTTTTCCCATTAATGCTTCTTTATTCCCACCTAGCGCTGCTGCGAGTGGACAGTCTGAGGCCGTCACAGCCGAAGTCAGTGACAAGTAAATATTGCAGCCTGCCTGCGGCGCATGGTGACAGGCTGTGCTTCCGTACTAACGGTGGCGTAGTTAGCTCTGCCTTCCCGTGGCCGGGTGGGGACGCTCCGGGGCGGTGCTGCTTCCTTGGTGGCAGGCGCCTGCCTGGGTGACACTAACTCGGAAGCGCAGTGCATGCTGGGCACGGGCGGCATGCCTCACTAAGCCCCTCCCATGGTGTCTGGGCGCGCAGGGCACACTTGCAGGGACAGGCAGGACCCGGAGCAGGGCGCGGGCCGGGAGCACCCGCTCCGCATAAGCACAGCTGGGCGGGAGAAACGCGGTGCGGCTGCGCTGCTGCTGACGGGGACGGGCAGGAAACCGCTCTTCAATTTACTCGCGTGCTGACGGCGCCCCCTGTTGGTCTCTCTTGGTCTCCGCTATTTACGTCACTTAACTGTCCTAAGCACAGGTCTTTCTGTCTCAAGAGCAGATCACTTTTAGAGAGAAGAACCACACGCCCTCTGCCCTCTGGGTACGGAGAGTTTGAAGAGCCATTGTCTTTATAGCTAACAAGGCGGCTTCGCGGGCTCGTTGTGCGTCCGGAGTTGCTGGGTTCCGGGTGAATTGACCGTTGTCAGGCCAACTGGGGAGCCGTGTGCAGGGCGAGGGGCTGGGGCGGGCGCTTGCTCCGCCCGGGTGGGGCGCTGACCCGGCCTCGCCCACGCCCTCTCTCCGGCCTGTGCTGCTTGCCCGTGTCCTGCGGCGCTGGTCCCTGTGAAGGCTGGGTCTCTGGGACGTGGCCCCGGCCCACGGGCCGGGCTCACCGATGGTCCGGTTTCCTTTTGGAGCCGCCGGCCGGTGGCTGTGGCCCTCAGGCTGGGGGGCCCGGGGGTCCCCTCCGTGTCCTGTCCTGGCCAGCACTGGAAGCAGCCCCTTTTGTGACTTAAGAAATGAGGTTCCTAGCCTGGATTTCCTTCTCATTGAACCACAGCTTTTAATCTGAAAAGTGAAAGTTTGTTACACACTTGGAAACAAACTCCAGCTGTCTCAGTTAAGATACAAAAAGGTTTAAAGAGTCGTCGTTCAAGATTTTTTTAGTTAGTGCTTTTCTCCTCATTTACTTTATTTTAGCTGTTTGTAGAATAATTAAACCGAAATCACGATCCCCAAACGAGGTCAAGGATGTAGACGCGGCTCGTGCTGAAATCCGCCAGAACCCCCGAGACGAGGGGGCAGCGTGAGCGCTGGAGGGGGGGCAGCCGGGGGTCCGGGGAACAGTGAAGGAGGGAGGGGGCCAGGTGCGGCGGAGGGATGTCATTTCTGTGTCCGCCTGCTGACCAGTGTTGGCCTCCTCGGAAAGCAGGCTTGCGGCAGTGTCGCTGGCTGACGCGCTGTCCCCTGGGGCCTCGCGCTGGGGCTGTGGCAGCTGCCTCCCTCCTTGGGCGCCAGCGTGGTTTGTCCAGGGGCTCCCTGGCCCCCCGGCCTCCGGTGTGGAGGGGCTGTGTTCAGGCCAGCTGCGCGCGCCTCGGGTCAGGGCCCCCTTCTCGTCCTGGCCCCCCGAGACCCCCGGGCTCCGCGGCTGGGGCCCCACTCCCCGCTTTGGGCTCCTGGCCCTGAGCCGCGGGGGGCTCCGGACGCCAGGGCCCCGTGGCGGGACCTGCCGGGCCCAGCGGGGCCGCCGCCCACCTGTTGCAGCGCTTTTACCCCGCCTGCCCCGCCTGCCCCGCCCCCGAGACCTGCAGGTGCCGTTCGCACGCCTGGGGCGGCGGCCGCTCACACTAGAGGACACGCTGTTTCCTACGGCGCTGGGAGGGGCACGGCGTGCTCACGTGAGAGCGTGTGTCCGTGTGTCCACGGGGCATGTGTCGGTGACGCCCTTGGGGGCAGAGGCTGTCTCCAGAGCCTCCTGCTGTGTGAGCGAGCGAGGCCGCTGCGGGGCAGCCCTGCCTCAAAGGACGGGCGGGGCTCGGGCAGCCGCAGGGACCCTCTCGGGGGTGAGCCGGGGTCAGCCTCAGCGCAGGCCAGTGGCCTGGCCCGAGCAGGGTGTGGTCGGAAGCGGCAGCCCCAGCCGGGCCGGGCGTGGCCGGGTGCTCGGGGAACGCGGCGATGGTTCTGCTGGACGAAGACGCAGTGCGGCAGCCAGGCCCTGGTCTGCTGCCCATGCGAGGGTACGAGTGCGGGGGCGGGTGTCCTGGCGCCCGCGTCCCATTGCCGACACTCCTGAGGCGGCGGGGAGCTCTGCGGTCTCACGGCTTTATTTTCAATGCTGTGGGTTGGCTCCGCGTGAGTCCCTCAGAAACCGAGGCAGCAGGCGGCTGTGGGTGTGGGGCGGGACCGGGCCGGCCTGGGCGCGGCGTCTGCTCCTTCCTGCTCCGAGGGGTCCTGGTGGGAGCCGCACTGGGGAGGCTCTGCGACTGCGTGTCCAGCCATCAGTACGCGTGGCCACGGGACGCTGGAAACGTGGCCATTCTGTGGTGAAGCTCAATTTTAGAACTCAATGGTCGCAGTTCTAAGGAGCTTGCGTCTGAGTGGCTGCCGCACGCGGTGCCTCGACGTCCGCGCCTCAGGCGAGCAGGTCGACAGCCGTGCCTGGGCCGCCGGGCGCTGTCGGGGGCCGAAGGGAGGGCGCAGGGTCGCAGCCCCAGTGACAGACCTGGACACGGCGCACGCTCCGCGAGCAGCCCCTTCCTTGTCACGTGAACACATGGACGAGAAGCGCGATGTCACGGGAGGGGCGGGTCCTGGCCGAGTGCGGCGCCTGACGGGCTGGCGGTGGGCGCACGTCCCGGGGGGCATCCTCTGACCTTGGCCGCGCCACGGTAGCTTGGTCCTCAGGGGACGCAGTGGTCGGCGGGGCTGTTTCTAGGCGGAACGTGCTTGTCGGCAGCTTCTCGGAGGAAGGCCGCGCCTGTCCTGTCCCTCGGGCGGGGGGCGGGGGGCGGCCTCTGACACGTGTGGTCTCTCCGCAGCCTGAAGGACGCCAACGATGTCCCGATCCAGTGTGAAATCTCTCCTCTCGTCTCCTATGGGGGAGAAGTAAGTTTCTTTTTCCTTCTTTCAAAAAGCAAAGCCTGGTCCTGCTTCACGTTCCAGTTGAGCTGCCCTGAGAGGACAGGGTGTCGCAGGGACCTGCCCCGGTGCGGCCCCCGGGTGGGCTGCTGGGTGCCTCTGCTCTCAGCCCTTGTCCTCGCAAATCCCTGTCCCGGCGTGTGCGGGTCCCCCTGTGGAGCCGCCCGGCCCCTCCCCTTCGCCTGCGCACTGAGACGCAGCGGGCTCTTCAGCGCGTGTGCGGGGGTCTGTTTGTCGTGCACGGCTGGTGCCGGGCGCTGCCCTCCTGCGCTGCAGGGCACCTGCCGGGGGCCCAGAGGGTGGGGAGACAGCGGGCGCCTGGCCGGGAGTGCCGGCCGCACGTGGGGTGGCCCCACGGAGCACGCGCGTCACCCGCTGACTGCAGACGTCACGTTGTCCGCAGGATAACTTTACTTTTTGCTGACGGTTTTATGCTGTTATGAATAGGTCATTAAGCCCAATTTAAAAAGTTTACCTAATAGGTTTTTATTGACTTAAATTGTGCATCTGAGCCCAGCTTTTGCCTTTGCGTCACGCGTCCAGCGTCGCGCGGCCCCTGTCCGGCAGCGCGCTGACTGTGTCCCCCATGCCCTCCCCCAGGGACTGGAGAGCCACGTGGCCGGCAGAGAGTTCCACGCCCCGCTGATCATCGACGAGCGTGGGGTCCACGAGCTGGTGAAGAACGGGCTGTGAGGGGCCCCCGCCGGGCAGGGGCCGCCGCGGCCGACGCGGAGCGGTGCCCGCCCCTCCCGGGCCTCATGCTCGAGAAGCCGCTGCACGTCCCCCACATCCACAGGGCTGGACGCGAGAATCCTTTTTATGACTCTCAGCTCATTGAAGGTCTTATTTATGTTTTTCAACCGTACGTTTTCCAAGCCCAGGAAAACCCTGCCTTGCATGCTGCCGGCGCGTGGTGCCGCGCCGGGGACCGGAGCGTCAGGTTTCAGCTCTGTACAGAGCTGTCCAATGCACCGCGTGTGCCGGGAGGCCTCTATGGTGCTCAGAGTTTGTTTGTTCAAAGGTACACTTTCTAAAGAAAATAACTGGATGGTAAAATAAACTCTTCTTTTTGTCTCTGGAGTGTTGCTTGTACCTTGAGGACTTTATTCCACTGGGAAAAGAGGAGACTTGGGAGAGACTTGAGATCATGCGCAAAAACCCCCAAGCCCACGTTTGTGGGGAATCGCTGTCGGAGAGGCTCCCGACTCGGGGCCGGGCTCCCGTCCGGAGGGGAGCTGTGCTCCGCACGCCCATCTGCCCGTGTCTGCAGACGCGGCGGCCGTCCCAGCGGGGTCGGGGGACGGGGAGAGGGGCTGGCGCCGGGCGTGCCTCGACGGAGGGGTCCGCAGGGGCGGAGGGGCCGCGCCTCGCCAGCCCATGCCCCCTGTGCCTGAGCTCCCGGCGCCCTTGGGGCTCAGCGGCGCTTCTCCTGCGTTGCCTGGGCCGATAGCCACTGTCCTTCCAGGTGGGGTTTAGTGTTTGTTCATTTGTTTTTAGAAGATTTAAAAAAGAGGCAGAATAACATGGTTTTGGGAACATGGGCTGTAGATCATTTGTAAGGGTTCCCTGTATCTAAAACACAGTTTGCATGACAGTGTTGAGCTTTGTAAATCTATCCTATACAGCGTGTATTGACCAAATACATAAAAATAAGTGCACATAAAATTAGCATCTGGACAAATGAAAGATTCTAAAAACCAGGTCTCAAGGACAGAGTCACCGACCGATCCATCTCCCGTGGCAGGTGTCCCTGGGTGGAGGGGGTCAGGGGCGGCTCGTCTGTGGAGTAAGGGGTCCAAGGGTCTGTTTTTGTTTTTCCCTAAGAGCCTATGGTATTGATATCTATATTTTTTGTTTTATTCCAATAGCAGCCCAATGTTGCTATTACCCGCCCCATTTTCTCAGAAAGACTGTGGAGGTGCCCCGGCCGAGGGGCCCGGTCGGGGCGCGTGCCGGGGGTGGGCGAGCAGCGTGGGGGGCCCGGGCGGCGCCGGCGGCGGTGCGAATGCCGGGCCGGAGGCCCCATGCCCACGGTCATGAGGGTCCCCCCGTACGGTTTCCTTGCTTTTCTTCTGAGAAGGTTCTAGGCAGGAAGAAGCTGTTTAACGCGTGGCCCTGCCTAGTATTTACAAATCAGCCCTTGACTGAAAGCATAATGAAAATATCCATTTTCAGTTGGCAGGCCAAATAAAAGTGCTATTTTAGACATTTTTCCTTATTTTTTTTCCAAGGGTGCAACTGAAATGATGATGATAGTTTCACATTTCCATAATCTATTTCTTTTTCATATTGAGCTTGTTTAGATCCCCAAACCCAGAACACCAATTTTATTTTCATTTGATTCTTCTTTGCTTTGAAAACTACAAATTAAGTTTCTTTATATTATTCCAAAACCCGACTTCCTCTTCTCCGTCCCTGGGTTCTCAAATAATTGCTCCTTTGTGAAGAACCGAACAATAGCAAACCACTGTGCCCTGGTGCCGGTTCAAGTCCTGTGTTTAACCAGCACGGCGTTCAGTTGGAAACCTCGTCTGACCCACGGGGTAGCCAGGCCTCGCCAGACATGCCTGGGAGGGTCTCACGTGACTCTCCACGGGCCACGGAGACCCGTAGGACAGGCTGGACACGCCACAAGGACATCACCTGATAACATCGCAACGTGAAACATTAGGAGGTCGACCAGTACTTCATTTGTATCGCTCCGCAGGAGGGTGCTGTGTGTGTATGGGGCGGGGTGGGGGGGGTTGGCCGGGGGCGGGGGCGTTGCCTTTTCTACTTCTTTCCTTTCCTTTGAGGTGCTGTTCTCACACGTGGGTGCGGGTGTGGTCGTGACGCCGTAACACTGTTTCAGATGTGGAGGCTCTGGGGTTGTTCCCAGAGCCCCTGGCTTTGCAGCTAATTCCCCAACAGAAATAAAGAGAAATGAAGAGGCCGCAGGGTTGAGCTCAGGAGGGGGGCTGGCCCCCAGCAGCGCTCGCCCCCTGACTTCTCGGGGCCCTCAGTCTCCCGTAAACCGTCTCCGGTTTGCCCCCACCGGTTGGCTCACCTTTCCAGTGTCTCCTGGGGGCTGGGCCAGGGCTGGAGCCGCCCCAGTCCCCCGCCCGGGGGTGGCCGAGTGGCCGGGGCTCAGTCTCCTCATGGGCAGGGTGTGGGGGGTGGGGGGGGACTCGGCGCCCTGAGACTCTGAGAAACGCTTCCGGTCGTGCAGTAGGAGCCTCACGCGGGTGTCCGTGCGCTGGGCTCCGCCTGGCTTCCCGACAGCCGCCCTCTTCCGTGCGTTTCCGCGAGCGCATCTGCTTTGCTGTCCTCATGGCAGGTAACGTGTTCCCTGCGAGGCTGCGAGGCAGGTGCTGTTGCAGCTGCCTTCCATTTATTAGCTCGTTTGTTCCTCACAGCAGCCGTCCCAGCGGCCCGTCGGGGGGGCGGGGCACAGAGCAGAAGCTGTTTGGGGGAGTTACCCTAAACAACAACGGCAAAAGTCAGAAAAAAACACATTTCGACGACGGGGCGTCTGCTGGGGCCTGGGCCGGAGCGGGGGGATGGTGGCTGCTTCGGGGGATGGAACCGCTTTCGGCCAGGCCTGGGCACGTGCCGCGGCACGTCGGTCGTCGCTTCCCGGGGACGCGGATGCGCAGCGGGGCTGCCTGGCCTCCCAGGGAACGGGAACAGCCCTGCGGCGTCACCCCCGGTCCCGGTGCACGCTTCCCCGGCGGAGCGGCGGTGGCTGTCAGGACGGTGCCGCCTCGGTGTCTGCACACCGGCTCCCGCGCCGTCAGTAACCCCGGCCGGGCTCCTGACCCCATCGGGCGGCTCCGCGGGCTCCGCGGGCTCCGCGGGCTCCGCTCCATGGCGCCTCGCGGCTTCCCGCGGGGCAGCGCCACCTGCCGCCCCAGCCGGCCCGCTTCCGCGGAGGCTCGGCTCCGACCCCTCCCTCGGCCGGGAGCGCCCCCGGGTGGTTGGGGCAAACGTTTGGGTTTCTTGGCCCTTTTTTGGCGGCGCCTCCTTCTGAGGGCTCAAGGTCAGCCCCGGGCTGGCTGAGGACACGCTGAGGGGTGGGCCCGGTGTTTTCCTTGGCTCCTCTTCTTCCCTCTGACTCAGTCGGGTGGCACTTGGGGTCTTCTGTCCCCAGGAGCCTCCTTGGTCAACCGGCCGTCAGGCGTCTGGTTTGGTGGTGACATCGCCGGCTGCAGCGGATCCGTCTGGTAGGCACACGCGGACTCCGAACGCTGGCCTTTGAGGACAGGGACCCGTGCGCACAGCAGCCTGCCCCGCGTTAGCTCGCTCGATGATGACGTCAGGACGGTTTCCACGGTCGACCTGCAGCCTCGCCAGATCCGATGTCGTGGCTCTGCCCGGGCACATTGTCCACGGCGACGCGAGGCAGGCCAACCCCAGCAGGCCCAGGGATTTGGGAAGGATTCGAGGGCTCTTGCTTCAGGGAATTTTTTAATTGTATTGTTCCCTAGTTTTGTGGAGCAATAACTGCTACCCATCGCTGTATGAGTTTCGGTGATGGTCTCATCTGCACACACCGTGAAACAATTGCCGTAGACTCACCCAACGCCCATCTTGCCGGAGGGAGGGAGGGACTCCCCCTTTGACCAGGGCTCCCGGAACCTCCTCCCTCACGGCCCTGTGCCCCCCGCCGCAGCCGGAACCACCTGCCGTCAGCCGCGCACTCGTGTATCTTAACACCGCGAGTCTGTGCCTTGGACCCCTCCCTCCGACAGCCTTCCCCGCCCCGGGCCTCTGGTGACCATGGTCCGGTCTCTCTGTCTGTGAATTTTCTCTGATTTTAAGATGACACGTATGAACGAGGTCGTCCTGTATGTGTCTTTCTCGGACTTCACTGTGCCATGCTCTCCGGGTCCACCCACGGCGTCACGCGTGGCAGGACCTCCCTGTGTTTACGGCCGCGCCGTGCGGTGCTGGGCCGTGCGCCCGCTGACGGCGCGGGACCCCGTCCGCGACCACGCGCCCGCGGCTGTGCGGGGTGGGCTCCTAGGACGGGCCCGGCCCGGCCCCTCGCACCCGACGGTCCGCTCGGGACCGTCTCTGCCTGCCTGTCGCCCGCGCAGTGGCCGCCCTCGCAGCTGCCCCAGGCCTCGCGTCCTCTGCCCTCCCGCCGTGACCCGCCGGCGCGGCCGGTTTCTGATGCCCGCAGGGCCTGTGTGGACGGCCGGGCCCTGCGTGGCCGCCCCCGGGGAGCCCCCCGTTCCCCGTTCCTCTCAGGAAGCAGCTCCTGCCCCGAAGCCACGTGGGGCGGTCGCTCCGTGGACCCTGCCCAGCCGCCGAGTGGCCCCCCCGGCCTCGCTCGTCTCGGGGCGGGGGCCGTGCCATCCCAGGCGCGGCCGGGGCGCAAGCAGGCAGGCGGGGGCTGTCTCTGGACGGCGGCCGGGTCTCCCGCACCTCCCTGTGCCGCCCCCGCCCCGGCCCCGTCTCCTGACCTCGCGCCTCCGCCCGCCCTGCCCCGCTGCGCCCCCTGGACCTCGAGCTGCCCGGGGCGGGCCGGGCCTGGAGGGTGGAGGCCACCGGCCGGGGCGGACGGCAGGGCGACAAGCTGTCATTTGAGGGCTGAGGACGGCCTCTCCTGCGGCCGGCCTCCCCTTCCGCGCCGCCTCTGGCCAGGGCCACAGATGGGGGGAAAGGAAGGGTTTTCAAAATACCGTAGAAAGTCCTTGCAAACACTTGCGTTTTCGTTTAGCGGCCCGAATCCTGGATGGCAACAGACCCTCCGAGGCAGCGACCAGCAGGGAGTCGAGTGGAAACACAGGCGCCCCCGGCTGTCCCGTGTTTTGCGGGGAGGGGACGGTTGGGGGGGCCGGGATGCAGCCAGGTCTCCGGGGGAGGGCGCAGCGCCAGGCTTTCACGGGCGAAACACGGGAGATCAGCTCCCTGTGCGTGACCCAGCTGGCCCGGAAGCTTCGGCCGGGAGACAGCTGCCCCCCTCTGCGCCGGGAGCCCCCCCAGAGGCAGTGAACGCAGCGGGGTCCCCGGGCGGGGGTCTTTCTCCGGGGGCGGGGGGCTCGGGGCTAGGGCGGAGGAGAGATCTGCCTTGAAGGCTGCCCCTGGTCATGCATGTGTTTCCTTCTATGAATGGGTTTTGCTGTAAATTACAGCTCTGCCCGCGGCCCCGCGGGTCAGGGGAGCGAGGCTCCAAACAGAGACGGGCTCTGATTGGCGCCACTGCCCCTTCTCCCAGCCCCTCCTAATTGAAACCAAATGGTGCTGTGTGCTGGATGCTGGGAGCCTGGCGCCTCCCCAGGAATCCTCAGAATGCGAGGTTTCTCGCAAAGGCGT